AAAAAAAATTATCTCATTTAATTTGTTTTTAAATTTTCCAACATTAGGGTAATAAATGATGATAAGGAATACAAAATGAGTATAAAAGTTGTTTTAGATTTTGTATTATTCTTCCTATTTCTATGCTTGAAACTTTCATCAGCCCCCCACCACACCCCCAAACTTCAATCCATAACAACTTTTACAGGATATTGAAATGTCACTCTTTTTCTCTCTTGTCATGTTCTCATTCAGATGCGAAATCACTCTGCAAAGTATTTTAAGAGTTATGAAACTAGTTCTGCCAGCATTATTCGCTCATTACCCTCATCCACTTCAAGACTGAATAGCAGCACAGTTTATTATCATGTCTGACAAGACTAGGAGGAGGATTAAAGAGAAGAGTTGACATTAATGGGGGTAGGGAGCATCCCCCACTTTAATCCAAGCATAACATCAAGGTCCCCAGAGGAAATAAAAAGCACACCTAAAAGGGTTCATTAAGAATATTTTGATAGGGGCGTGTTTTGCAAAGTTGTAGGGAAGTTTGCAGGAAACCCAGAAACATGAAACCATCTGGTATCTGCTAACAGAGGGCAGTAATTACCCCTCATCCTGAACAAGAAGCAGAGTGATTCTCAGAAGGCAGAATGGTGACTCCAGCCTGCAGGGAGGGAGGAGCCCCAGCAACCTACAGCCCACCAGGGTTCGCAGCAGGGAGTGCAAATAGCATTGTGTCTACTCCCCCACCCAGAGAAGCCAGAGGGCTGGAAAGGGGCAAACCACCTCAGGGCACACAGAGAAGCACCTAAAAGGGTGAGAATAAACAAGAAAGGGCACAGGGCCAAGAGGGGAACTCTCAGTTAAAGGCTGCTGCAGGTGAATGCAGAGCTGATAAATGCTGGATTAGGCAGGGACTTGTCTGGGACACAGGCTCTAGAAAAGTCTACGGAATTAGAGGATGAGTTAAGCTGGGAAGTGAGGAAAGAGCACACCAGGAGTGAGGTGCTTCACTAAATGAGAACTGGACAAGAGAGAACAAGAGTGATGTTTCAACTTTGAACTTTGAGGCCAAAGTCCAATCCTGTTTTCTGTGTACTTTACCAGAGAAAACACTGAATTTAACTTTACTAAAAGAGGTTCTTCTTAAAGAAATTAGCACTGGAGGTGACTGTAACAGAAGGTTGGAATTCGGACACCCCAGGCTGCATCAAAGTCTCTAACATCCTAGCAGAGAAGGAGCTGCAAGGAACCCAAAGAGGAGACAGCTCTGGACTTCTAAGTCACCCAGAGAGGGCCACTGCCTGATGTAAGTAAATCTTTCGTTATGCAAAATTGTACTTTATTTTTTTTTTACCCTTTCTTCCAATTTCATTCTCTGGACCCAAGCAGCTGTTAGTAAGTGGCGATAAGAAAAGGTCAGAGAACATGAACTTGATTGCAATCCACCTTCCAAGTAAATGCTTCCTGGCTTCAGACAGAAATCAGTGGTGAGATGGTAATTTGACATTAGCTGAGTCTGTGGAATTATAAGACTGGGCCGGAATATTTAATTATTCTGATAGTTAAGGCTTGAGCTTGATAAGGAGCATCAGTCTACCTAGCTGAGATTTCATCCAGGCTTCTCTCCTGCATTTGATGACCCACTATGATTACTATCTTTAATATCTTATAATTTAGAATTTTATACAGTTAATTCTGGATGAGGGGGGATTTAAACTGTGAGGGTCCACTTATATGCAGATCTTCTTGCAAAGAGACAACATAAACTTATGGTATTGAGAAATACAGTTCTACAAATATATTTTTTCTGATCTTTTCTTAAAATCATCTTTCTCTAATCATCTAATAATCATATAATAATGTAATACATATGTCAATAAATGCACTATGCACATATAATACACATATACAAATTATATATAACGTATAAAACACGTGCTGATCAATGTATTTGTGAGACTTTTAGTCAACAGCTGGTGACTGCTAAATTTTAGGTAGTTACAAATTATACAAGGATTTTTGATAGCTTGAGAGGGTCAGTAAACCTAACGCCCAAGTTGTATAAGGGTCAGCTGTATATGACTCACTTGCACTACTGAATTGAAATTACTTGAGAAAAAAAATCTTATTTTGATCATCTGTATGCTATCATAAAACAGATGTGTTATGAAGTTAACTCAATTGCTAGATTTAAGTAAGTATATAACTACACTGATAGATTTAAATAAGTACATAAATAAATTTGCAAAGACTATATCAATCTATAAATAATGGAAAGTTATTTCATAAGATGGTTTAGATAGCAAATATTTATATTCGAAGTTTATGGTTACACTTCAAATTATAAATGTTTTTCAGTACATGTGAGTATGTTGGTATTCATAATGAAGATGCCATTTTTTATCAGGGCTATGAGGAAATTCAGTATGACATTAAAATGAAATATGCCACATTAAAATAAATAAGCAAGCCATGGTAGTTATTAGTAATTTGTCAAAAGCAATCTTTACTACCAATTCTCAGCTTATGATCTGTGTGCTTAATGCATTTATTGACAGAGCAAAACATGATTCACAAATGCTTGACAAGATGTTCCGTACGTATTTTATTTTTTAAGATATGAAGTGTATGAATTAGTTTAAGAAATTGATCATCGATTTGCAATTACGTGTGCATGTTCTTTATAAAGGGACTGTTTTAACAAAATGTTCTTTCTTTAACATAAATGTGATTGAATTTATTCTTGAATACTAAAAATATACGTTTGTCTATACCTTAATGGCATTACTAGTACAAATGATGTTTCTATGATCAAAATTATACCTAATATTTGTATAGTGACATACATTAACAACACCTGTCTTTTACAGGGTTACTGCCAGTGATGACATGCATGTGGTCAAAGTACTTATAGAGGACGTGAATATTAAACTTTATTTTGTTATAGTTCTTTGCTTTTTAACTTTCTTTTTCACAGTTTCTGACAACTCAATCTGGACTTAGTACATCAGAAGCATCTCTATTAATAGGTAAGTTGAAAACACCAAACACTTCTTACAAAACTCTAGGAATAAAATAAGGAAAGGGAAATTAAAATGACCTCTTTTTAATCACTAGTGTCTTTAATTAATCATGCTATCCTTGAGCCTCAATAATATTAGGAAGAGTTAGATTATTTACTTTTTACTTCCATGCTTCATCAGATCATAGTCACTAATAGGAAGCATGGGTGGTGGGAGACAGGGTGTCAAAGTAACAAAGCCATTTTATTTTTGGTCTTTCCTTGTAATTATCTTTAGCTTATTAGTGATCAGCTCATCTCTGGCAATCATTTCTGAGGAAAAGAAAACTACTTTAGCCTGAAGGGAATACAATAGCAATAATGTAGTCATGGTGAAATCAGGATTTCCATGGAAATTTACCTTGATATAGATTTACTTAGTAAGCCAGATAGGACCCCAAATCATACAGAATGCCTAGCTTTTGTTCTTTATTCCACTGATGAGCCATTTGCTTGAGAAATTTCCATTAATTTCATAATGGCATCCCCTGTCTCCCCAGGAGAGAACTGAATTGGTAATGGTACACTTCACAAGAAGTTACTTGTCTTGCAGCTCCTTCCAGAGAAGGGAGGGGTGTTATTTTAATTTAAGTGACTATGGACTATATATTCTCTATAGTTTGCATGTAAAATTTATTTTTGCAAATTTATAAATGCTTAAAAAGTTAGTGATTGTAATACTTGCTTCTCACTACCAATCACTGTAATTTTTAAGATAGAATTTAGAATACATATTAAGATATACAGAATTTAAGAGAATATAGTAAATGCTTTTGATTTCTTAATTATGGATGCAATTGTGAAAATGTATGGCTAATCATTCTGGAGAATTTCAAATGGTGAGAAAGAGGCAGAGAACTGAATAAGCAATTTAGCAGCAAATAAAACCATAAGGTTCTTACATGATGTTACAAGAAAAAAAAATCAAGTATGAGAAATAAAAACCCTGGAAAATGGCGAATGGAAAATGATTAAACTGAAACCTGAAAACTAGATATCGACGGTAAGGTTCTGGTGTGGTGATGAAAAAAAAAGCTTAGAATGGACAGAAGAGCTAAAGGAGCTGAAAGTTGGATTGTGAATTGCTGCTTAAAATGATGCCACCGGCTTCTATGTGGAGAATGAATTCTAGAAGTCAATACTCGATGTGATAAGATAAGTGGAAGAAATTGCAGCCAGCCTGCTGTGAGACTATAGTCTTTGAGGAGAGCGATAAGAGGAGTAATAAGAAGTAGATCAGTGCGTGCTGTTCTTCAGAGACTGAGTCCATTTAGTTCAATGTACTAAGGGTTGGGATATTAAGGGGGGAAAAGTGAGTCAATTATTACTCTTATGTTACGGGATTGAGCAACCGTAAGAATAATGGCGTCAAAACGAAAATACACTGGATTGGGAGGTCTGAAACTAGAATAGGTTTTGGTGGAATCAGAAGTTATGCTGTGGTGATCTCCAGTTGGATAGGCGAAAGGCCAGGGCTTCATTTCAATTTATTCTCTAATTTCTTCTTTTGATATTAATGTGACTTCCTCACCCTCAACCTTCTTCCCTACTGGTAGGCTACTGTGGAGCCTATTGTAAATTCTGTGCTTTTAAAAACCTGGTTTCTGGATTTATTTCCTGGCACTTTTTCTCTTTTTCTAGTGTTTCCTTTATTTGGTTGATATTACTTTGTTAAATTAAATGTGACTTTATTTATTTTTTCCTTTGTAAGGAACATTGAATTGAACACTTAATGTGTATTTGTTTTCAGAGTAGTTTCTGTCATCTATTGACCATAATAGGAAAAATTTCAGTACCATCATTTCAAAGACTATGACAAATTCAGTTTTTTATTTTTTACTTGGTTTAGGTGCATTTAAGAGTATTTTAAGATTAACCAGTTCAAAGAGATTTATCAGTACTTTGTAACTCCACTATTTAAATTGTAAGCATTATGTACATTTTCTACTTATTTGGACTCACTGTCAATTCACACATCCTGCCCGTTATCCTGCCTCTTATATAATTGCAAATATAGGCCTCTATATGGAATATATTAATTATTTTATTTGCACTGTTTGATCATTATTAATATGTTGTCTACTTTCTTTTTTATGGCATTAAAACAAAGTTAACCTTTCAACCTTATGTTGTGCTTTTTTAATCTTCTTGTACTTCCTATATTTAAAGATACATACTATCTTTATATACTATATTAATATAGTTTTAAATATACTACTACATTTAATACCTTAATACTATAGTTAATGCTTTATATATCTTCAAGCTAGTCTATTCGGTCAAAGGATTTAGGAGGGTATTTGAAGTTTTTCCGTCTTGGCATTTTTTTATGAAAAACTTCATCTTTAAAGTATTTTGAACATTTGAGTCATCAAATACAATCCTTTGCATAATAATATCCAACATTATTGATAACATTATGGGTTTGGATTGTGGTAGTTCAAAAACATACTTTCAAAAATATAATGAATGACAATCAGCAATGTTATAGAATAAATTCCGAGTTAGTTTGACTCCATGTTTGAGTACAGAAAGTCTATTAGTGTGTTCATAAATCACTGCAGTCTGGTTTTCATTAATAATTATACCTCCCAGATCTTCCCAGCCCCTTCTCCTGACCAATGCACACTTCCAAGGTATGCTCCAGCCTTCTTCAGTAAGCATATTTGATTTCAAAGTGCCACTGCTGATTGCAGACCATTAGCAGAAAACTAAAAATATTAAAAACCACTTCCTCTTATACCTGTAGCTGCCATTTATTAAAAAGAGCCCCGGTATAAAGTTTTATACAAAAACCCTGAGTTGTCAATATATTTTTTCCCCATAAGTTTAGTTTTCCCTCTTTATTCTTCAAGGTCCTTCTTTTTAGGAGGAGAAAGTCAATCTTTATCCACATGAGGTGTTTCATTTGTTTTTACTTGCCTTTGGAGTGGAAATGTGGTTGGTTAGGTAAGTTTTTCTTAGTCAAAGAAGTTTGGGAAATGTTGCTATCCTCATATCCTTTATACACCTTGCAACTTAAAGTGACTACCATTAACATATTTAAGACTACAGAGTCAAGCCCTCCTTGGTGGCACAGCAGGTTAAAGCACTGCACTAAGAAGCTTAAGCCACTTCCTCATGAGTTCAATCCCCACCTGCCCCTGAGAAGATCCACATGGCCTGACCCACCCACTGCTCCCCTCAGCAGTTCACTTTGACAATCTTCCTGTTCTGCTCCCCACTCTGTCCTTGATGAATCCTCTCACCCTCCGCATCTCTGGCTTGTACCCCAGTTCTGTATGAATAAATAAATCTTAAAAAAAAAAAAGACTACAGAGTCTACTTTATTGCCTTTTTAGTTTTTTAAAAATATTTTTAGAGTCTCAGAGGACACACTTTGATAATGCTGCTCTGAATAGGTTAATATTAAAGGTATGTTCAGGAAGGTTATCTTGCTCCTTAAAGCCTAGAAAAGATCAATCTGGATTGAAAATGTAAATAAATAAGAAATATCTTAGGCCAGGCTCCTTTTGTGTTCACTGCTATGGGTTTCTTCCAGGGCACCTCACTACATATTCTGGAAAAATAGAGACACAGAAAATCCTATGCTTTCTTTCTTATACTTCACACACAGCTAGAAAAACAAGCATCTCTCTTGGTAGCTTAAGTGATCAATGCATTTGATTTAATAACTATTGTCTCTCTAGCATCATTTAAGATAGGGTACTTCTATAATTTGTAAAATTGTCTATATCAGTAAGTCCCGATTGTCAACATAAAACAAGCTTGTGGAACATGAACAGTGGACTTGGAATCAGAAGGGAGAACTTAGCATCCAGCTGCAAGTCAGCTCCAGGATGAGCAGAAAGCTCCTTCCATCACTGGACTCTGCTCCCTGTAATGTAAATTGGAAGTAATTGTATATATAAAATAATTTTTGCAGATTTAATTACAAGACCATTTTCAAGAGAAAAGCATTACCATTATGTCATTTTAGCTTCCATATTTAATGAAATAACTCCTATTAGATGTGTGTAGATTACTAAAAACTCATTTTTCACCTAAACATTTTGCCCTCTGTAGAGCTAAATTTATTTTGGAAAACATAATCCTATCAGAAATGCAGGTCTATAATGAGAACTTGCAGTTTGTATAGGGTAACATGAGTACCTGGGACAAAGAGGGAGGAACTTGAAAAGGCAATTGCAGTGATCGTGTCTCTCTGTGTTTCTCCCACATCCCTTTCATTGCTGAGGAAGTGGAAGATGAGGGAGGCCCAGGTGAGATCAGTCAACAAATGAGCACAGACCTAGGGACAAAACTTAGACACCTTTGACTGTGACTGTCCCATCTTTTCTTGTAACCTACCATCTCAATTATAAACAGGAGCAGCAAGGTGAGTTCTCTGCCCCAAATCTCCTAGACATACTGAACCCCTAGACATACTGAAGTCTAACTCGGGCTCTTTGTCTCTAGGAAGCCTTTCTTAGTCAGTTACTGGAATCGCAGAGATAAAGATAAATAACCTTTCTTTGGCAATAACTACTTAGCACTTACTTGTGTTGTTTCTCAATTTCTCCTTTTGGACTTATTGATAGTACCTATGAGGAGTAAGCACAAGGCGATATGGTGAGGACTGTGTGTGATGGGGTGGGAGGTTGGAAGAACCATTGTGACCTGAGGGGAGAAATCATATATTGACCAAAAAGTAGCAATGATGTAAGGGAAAAAAATACATTTAAAAACTAAGAAAAAAATTAATAAAGTACTAAATAATGAAAGAGGTCCTGGTAGTATGTTACTTGTTATTATTTGTATTATAGCTATTATTTGTATTACAGAACACATTACTGTGTATCCATCTTTTCTACCGTGAACTAATTTATGACAAAGAATGTGTGAAAAATTGTATCTGGTAATTACTACTTTTTATAGACACCTTGAGTGTGTCATGTATGGCTGGAGTAAGTAACAATATCATTTCAC